AGAACAATGCAGAGACATTTACAGTTTGAAGCAGGGATGTGTCCGGAACAGATCTGCTCTTGGAAAAGATTTCTTCGGCTGTGGCATGAAGAACTAAGGGATCCGGGTCAAAATAGGGGTGTGAAGCACTCACGGTGCCTCGGGGCCCTTGGACTGGAGCAGTGGTGTAAACACTGCATGTGATGAGACAGATGGGACAGAAATTCAGGAGGCGAAACTGACAAGACCTGGAGACGTGCTGGGGAAGGAAGTGCGGGTGCTCACGTTATCAAGAGGGCCACAGAGTCTCCTGGTTCTCCAAACGGAGATGAGCATCCTGACTGTTAGGACTCAGATAAGAAACCCCGGGAAATTATCAGAATACAGGAAAGATGATAAATTCTCTTTAGCATGTGCTAAGTTTGAGGAATATACAAGGCAACACCGTCAAGTAGGATGTATAAATCTGGAGTGGAAAGGCCCTGTCCAGCTTGGGGTACAAACTGTGAGCTCTCTGCATATAGGGAGTGACTGGAGCGATCGGTGTGAATAGTTTTGCTGAGAGAGAGGGACCAGAGAGAGGACCCGAGAGGGACAGTTAAGAACCCCTCACAGTCTAAAGAAGATGTGGTCTGTATGTATATATATATATATGACTCAGCCATTAAAAAGAATGCAGTAACGCCATCTGCAGCAACATGGATGGACCTAGGGATTATCACAGTGAGTGAAGCAAGTCCAAAAGAGAAAGACAGAGACCATATGATATCACTTCTATGGGAATCTAACGTATGACGCAAATGAACTTATCTACGAAACAGAAACAGACTCACAGCCATAGAGAACAGACTGTGGTTACTGAGGGGGAGGGGGGTGAGGGAGGGAAGGAACGGGAGTGTGGGATGAGCAGCTGCAAACTAACTGGTATATATGGGATGGATAAACAACAAGGTCCTACTGTGTAGCACAGGGAACTATATTCAATATCCTGTGAAAAACCATAATGGAAAACAGTATGAAAAAAAGTATATACATGTATAACTGAGTCACTTTCTGAACAGCAAAATTAACACAACATTGTAAATCAACTCCACGTCAATAAAATTAAAAAAAAAAAAAGAACTCACACTCAAAAGCCACAGAGCGTAAGCCTGCAAAAAAAGGAAAGGCAGGAGGGCCAGAATCGGTGCTGTTGAGGAATCCAAGGGAAGGGGTGCTTCAAGGAGAGGTGGACAAATGTCCTCCAAATGCCACTGCAACGTCACATAAACCAGACTGCAGTATGTCCACTGGACTAGTGACAGGGAGGTTACTGGTAACTTCTTTTTAAACAAATTTGGAGCCAGCTGGAGAGTGAATAATAGTGACTGAAATGGGGACACACTAAGTGTGGCAAACTTAGATTTTTGGGGGGCTGTGTTCAGCCGGGTGGTGGGGACAGAGAGAGAGGTCGAGGCCACTGAAGGGACTCTGTGGGTCAGGGCAGGGTATTTTATGGCATTTAAATTTTTAAATGGAATTAAATTAATTATTGAAAAAAATCCATAATTTAGGAAAAACCCCAGAGGGTAGCACCGAAACACTGAGGAGCCGGCAGGGCACAGGGAAAAGTGAATCTCCTCTAACTGCCCTTCTTACAATGCTCGTTTCTCACAATTCTATAGAAGCAGCTTTAAGTATGTCTTTTTTTTTTTTTTTTTTTTTTTACACAATGTATGTATTTATTTATTTATTTATGGCTGTGTTGGGTCTTCGTTTCTGTGCATGGGCTTTCTCTAGTTGTGGCAAGTGGGGGTCACTCTTCATCGCGGTGCGCGGGCCTCTCACTATCGCGGCCTCTGTTGTTGCGGAGCACAGGCTCCAGACGCGCAGGCTCAGTAATCGTGGCTCACGGGCCCAGTTGCTCCGCGGCATGTGGGATCTTCCCAGACCAGGGCTCGAACCTGTGTCGTCTGCATTGGCAGGCAGATTCTCAACCACTGCGCCACCAGGGAAGCCCTAAGTATGTCTTTATGTGAATTGTAAAATTAATGTGCAGTGGGGAACTCCCTGGCGGTCCAGTGGTTAGGTGCCTGCATTCTCAGTGCCAAGGGCCCGGGTTCAGTCCCTGGTGGGGGAACTAAGATCCCACAAGCCGCACGGCACGACCCAAAAAAAAAAAAAAAAAAAATTAATGTGCAGTGAAATTGACTTTTTGAGGGGTATCCAGCTATATGGATTTTCGCACGAGTACACATTTGTGTAACCTCCAATTCCATCGCTCCCCAAACTGCTATCCCTTTGTGCTCACACCCTCCCCCCAGGTAACCACAGCTGTTTGTCACTAGAGTTTTGGCTTTTCTAGGACATCATATACATGGAACCATACAGTATTTGACCTTTCCAGACTGGCATCCTACCTCGGGGCCTTTGCACCTATCGCGCCCTCTGCCCAGAACTTCTCTCTCTTTTCTCAGGTAGCTGCAAGCGTAAAGAATTCACAACACGGAAGATTCTGCTAAAATGGCACCTTCTCAGGGAGGCCTCGCCTGGCTCCCCACATATAAAATCACACTCCCCTCCTCGGCTGACTACCTGCTTCTTCCATCAGGACTCATCAACCACTGACTGTCTCTGTTATCTGTCTACAGCTACTCCTGTTAGCTTCTGTCCACACCTCCTCTGTGGAACGAGAGCTGTATGAGCGTGAGGATGTGCTGTCCTTCACATCTGTGTCCCCGGCACTTGCAGTGATGCCCAGCACATGGGTGGTTCTCAAGTGTTCGTCAATGGATGAATACATGCCTAAAATCTAGTCATGGTTCCGTCGAGCCTTAAGGATAAGCCCCAAATTCCTTAATATCCGCCCCCGTCTCCGCCCCTTATCTCTCTGGTGTCATCTCCCACCTGTCTCTTTTTTAAACCATACACTCCGTCAAAGTAAAGCACGTATGTTCTCCAGAAGCCTCTGTGGCTCTTGAAATCCCTATCATACCCTTCACTCTTTCACCCTTTTTCCTTGGCTAAACCCTATCACGTTTTAGGTCTCAGCTCAGGCTTCGCTCCTTGGAGAAGCTGTTCTTGGTGGATTCGCCTTCCTGCAGCCTTAGGTCTTCAGCAAGCAGTTCAACGCACGAACAGCTTTCTCAATCACCCTCCACTTCAATGAGCTGACAACTTATTGGCCTTATTGCTACAAGCTCCTTCATCTATTTTGTTCCCTGACTTTGATAGTCACTGTCTAGTGCATGCTCACTACTATGGAGTGCAAGAGTCTTGAACAGTAATATATAGTTGGTAGTTTCACAAAAGCCTTGGCAACCAACACGAAACTGTGACGCCATCAATTCAAACGATGAGTCTAAACAAATTACCTGACTTTGTTCATCAGTTGAAACAATGGAACGAGCATTTTGTAACTATTACTGTGAGCATCAAAAATGTATACAAAGAGTTTTAAGGGTCACAGACGATAAGGACAGGAGATCATCATAAACCAAGTGTAGGATCCCATCCCCCAAATATGTTTCTAAAACTTGATGACTGAAGTTTAGTTAATGAGGGGCTGCTGGGGGAACAAAACTGGGTTCTATAAGGTATTATACTCATCACAGATAAGGGTTATTGTTTTCAATAGTTTCTCTATTTTTTATACAATATACTTCAGAGTTAACTAAAAAGCTTGACGTTAAGAGCCAGTCTCTCAAAGATCAAAGATCTCACACAACCATGAAAAAATTTATAAGAATAGAAACCTAATGCTCAGTAAGTTACATGTGTAACAGCAATTAACCTAAAACTTCAAGCAGGTGCCAAACGGACGAAATAGTTGCCAAAGCTCTTGCACTTGATCAAATTAGTACATGATAATACACAGCGTTCAAACACAACCCTGTAGACATGTTAACTAAAATCTCCAAATTGTTTTTACAAATGAAACAAAAATATTGCTATCAATATGATACAATTATAATTCTTGATATAATTCAAGTATTAAGGGATTTGGGATCATAGCCATTATTTATGGAAGTCATACTATGTTTAATCCTTCTAATAATCCTATAGTTAGTTACTACTCTCTCTCTTTTGCTGTTTAGATGAAGAAATGAAGCCGTATACAAGCCCCATATCCCTGTCCTTTGAAGTCAAAGGCTTTTGCTTTAGTCTCCCAGGCCTCCCTTGAGTCTCTAAAGGCTGGCTCAAGAGTTAATGATTAGGAATGTGAAGATGTAGAAACAAAGAATAGCTGTTGGGCTGGAGAACTGGTAACAATTTAGACTATAATTCTGCCACAGTACAGAATCACCAAACTCCCATTTCCCTGAAAGACAGAGATAAAGGCCTGACACACATTCCTAAGTTGTTTTTAAGGAAGCAGACCCCCTCCAGATGAAAACTGCTGACAGCAAGAACGAGAACGCTGAAACCAGAAGGTTGATGGTGCTTGAAACTTGATGCCAACCAATCCAAGAATTGTGCATGAGCTGATCACACACCCTAGGGCCCCCTCCCTCACACTGCCTTTAAAGCCCCCTCCCTGGAAGCCACTGGGGAGTTTGGATCTTTTAAGCATGAGCTGCCCATTCTCCTTGTTTGGCACCCTGCAATACATGCGGTACTTTCCTTTACCCCAACCTTGGCGTCAGTAGACTGGCTTCACCGCATGCAGGCGAGGGGACCCAAGTTTGGTTCGGTACCAGAAACTGGGCCTTAAAGAGGCTGATGACATTGCTTGTGGTAACAATGATGCAAAGCCAGGAGTTTTTAGAGTCTGCAGACACCAGAGCTCATGTTCGTGAAAACAGACCAGAGCCAAAACATTCATGCTGACAGCCTGTGGAATTTTTAACTCAAAACTTTCAAAAGAAATCCTTCCATACCATGAAATCACTAAGACGGCAGCAGTGGCTACTGGTGACACGTGTCTGTATTGTCTCTGCGCTATGACACATGGAATTGTCATCTAGTTAGATCTGCTCACCAGCAGCCTCAGGAGAGAAGGGTTTAAATGGCTTCAGCTCATTGGCGATGCACACACTTACCTAAACTTGACCTTGTGTTGGATCTTTCTATTATGGCGTGTTTACTGGGATTGTTCAAGACAGAGCGTTTGGCCAGCGAGATGTCAGCGGTGACCCTTGTGATGGAAATCCTGTTGGGGAAAAAGCAACAGAGGACTCTGAGGTTATTCATTGAATAAAGGGGGACAGAAGTGTATGCCCCAAACTCATCCAAGTATTTTATATATATATATATATATATATATACATATATATATATGTATATATACACACACACACACACACACACATATGTATATATGTGTGTGTGTGTATACACACACACACACACACACATACATACACAGTGACCATATTTTCAACGCAAAAAATGCTGGGGCACTTAATCATTCATTTTTTAAAAATCCTGCACCTACCTAACTTAGCATTTATTGGTTGCTTATCAAGTGCCAGGCATGCACTCAGCATTATTTCACTACCCAGACTATCTCATTAAATCATTCCAAAAACTTTACTTATTTAATTTTTTAAAAATTTTATTTATTTATTTGTTTTTATTTTCGGCTGCCTTGGGTCTTTGTTGCAGTGCGCGGGCTTTCTCTAGTTGCAGCGAGCAGGGGCTACTCTTTGTTGTGGTGCATGGGCTTCTCATTGTCGTGGCTTCTCCTGTGGAGCATGGGTTCTAGGCACGTGGGCTTCAATAGTTGTGGCACACAGGCTCAGTAGTTGTGGCTCACGGGCTCTAGAGCACAGGCTCAGTAGTTGTGGTGCACAGGCTCAGTTGCTCCATGGCATGTGGGATCTTCCCGGGGCAGGGATTGAACCCATGTCTCCTACATTGGCAGGCGGATTCTTAACCACTGCACCACCAGGGAGGCCCCATCCTTCCAAAAACTTCAGCGGAGAGGATATCCTCCCACTTTTGCTGATGAAAAAAAGTGACCCATAGGTAGATTGTTTCTCCATGGCTATATATTTACGAAAAGTGGTGAAGCTGGGATTTGAACCCAGAACTCCTGAGAGCCTATATTCTTAGGCCCTGTGCTATAATCCCTCCACAGTATGGTGCTGTGATAGCCATGAGGAATAAATAAGAACAAGACAAACAAGGTCTTCCTCAGTGCTGAGGGTCTAGTAGCAGATATGGGTCATAAATAAGAAAAGAAATAAAATGATTACAGGCGAAGATGGCTGTTCTGAAGAGGACACAGGGGGTGCTGTGACAGATAGTCATGAGTTGTGGGGGTCATTTTAGACAGGCTCAAAATGAGAGCAACAAAATCTGGGAGCTGGAAAGAGTAGGTGACTTAGACTGGAGACTTAGCTGAATAAAACAAGCCAGCAGTAGGGAAAGTGTGGAGCAAAAGAGAGGACTCACAAAACCTCTGAAGAGGAAGGTGAAGGGGGGACTGAAAACAAGAGATTTGGTTAGAATTCTGTTTCATAGTTAGATCCCTGCACCTCCCCTCCACTACATCAAGCCACAAGGTGGCCATCCTTTTCCCGTGTGGTGTGAGAACCATAAGTTTAGTCTCTCTAGGCAACAAAACAGAGGGCATCTGACCAGGGGGTGCTACACAGAGCAGGACCAGAGAGAAGAAAGGATGCTAAATGTTGAGCCCCTAGCGCTCTTCCTCATCCTAGAATTTTGGTAGCCAAGTTTATATCCTCCAGGTGTCAAGAATGGAAGATTCTTCTCTGGGGAATCTGACCACCAAACAGAAAAGACCCAAAGATCAGGACTTTGGTGGTTTCCTATGAAGATTGTCCAGTGAGGCTGTCCTACAGGGAGACCCAAAGGGGACAAGCTGTACCTATCAGCACAGAATTTCCAGTTGATTCTTTGATGCCCTGTTCTTAAATTTAAGCACAGCAGTGTTCCTTGGGCATCTTAGGGAAACTTCTAACATGAGAGACCAGAACAAACAGAAAAAAATCAACTATGACTAACACCTAAAGTTGAAAGCTAAGAGATGATTATATCTACGAAACTAGAACAAACTTCTATATAAAGACTCAGACTAAGAAAGAGTTTTCGGAAACTAAAAATATAACAGTAGAAATGAGAGTTCAAAAGAGGGGCTTAGAAGACAAAGTTAAGGAAATCTGCTAAAGAGTAAAACAGAGAAGACAAACCAATGGAAAATCAGAGAAGAAAGGCATAAAAACTAGAGAATTACCCAGGAGGTTTAACTTCCAAATAACAAGAGTTCCAGAAAAAAGACAATAAAGAAAACGCAAGAGAAGTAAAAAAAAAAAAAAAA